TCAGGGTTGAAGGGATGTGAGAGACAAGGAGAGCACCTGCAGCAAGAGAGACTGCTGTTTGGCAGCAAGACGTGACAGGAATAAAAACCTACCCCAGCTACACAGACGGGATCATATAGAATTAATTTATATCCAAAAAACAGTCAATGAATTATTTGACTGAGAGCAAAATTAAAGAAAAAGAGTCACCCTAACAGAAAATTGTGGGCATCAGGGAGACTTACTTCTATTTTTTTGTACTTAGTCGTTTTCAGTCTCTGGATAAAAAAGTTCATTATCCTAGCTTCTATTCTAATAAAACTGTATAGTTCAAAAGCCCTATTTTTTCTGTAGGTACACAAAATGTACATACACAAATTCAAACACAAACATATACACACATACCTGAAGCATCGATAAAAGCTATTTTTATTTTTCATTCACTTTGACACCACTGGAGATACTAAAGCTGCATTTTTGTAAAAACTACTGATAAAAATCATGTTTGGCAGGACAAGTATCATCTTTGCTACTAGTGATGATGAAAGAAAATACCATGTATTCGATTGTCCCTCTTTGCCTATGTCTATACAATTTTAAGCATTGGTGACAGACATGCATTAAAAAAAAAACGTAAATGAGATGCACAAGGGATTAACATTTTTCCAGGGACGTTAATAAAAAAATATTCTGACAGTTCATGCAATACTGGAAGTTAAAAAACCCCAAAACAACCAATATCGCAAAGTGAGAAAAATAGGTCTAAGGGCTTTTTATTATCCCGAAATGCTTTTCTCATTTTCCCGCTGTTGTGTGAAGTTACTAATTTATAATGAAGATGAAAAAACTTACGATAAAACACAACTTGGAGCCGTTTTTAATATATCTGCTGGCCTTCCAGAGAAATAGCACTGACTGGATAAAAGCCTTTGGAAGATGGCACCTGCATAAAATTTTCTGCCTAGTTAAAACACTTGCAGAAAGTATCCTCTTTTAACACCTTCCATTTAATCTTCTTTTAAGATTCATTTAATATAAAATTGTAGATGTGTTTTTAGGTTGCAATAGTAATGGTTCAGAATGACAGCTGATTTGGACACTTTTGTACTAGCTGCATGGTACAAAGACAGGATCTCTATTTCTGCCCTGCTGAGAAAGAGTAAATGGACCCACACAAATGGGCTGTAGTGTTGGCTCTGGGAGCCGACAGAGTTCAGCTATTCCCAGTGACACCTAGTCAAAGGGTTTGTTATGGCCGCAGAGGTTAGTCTATACTGTCCTAACACTGATAAAAAGCTAAGAGCTAAGGCATACAGATCCTTTGAGAATCCCCTTTTTTCTCACAGGACTAGAAGAAGCTGAATGATATAGAGAAGCCAGAACAAAATTTTCTAAAATACCACAGATCAGTACTTAAAATCTGATAAAGAATTCACTCAGAGGCAAGCACACTGCTGTTACAGTTGCACCTGCCTGCAGGTATTGCCAACTAACATCCCTAGTGAGATTTTGGAGTACATAAAATATTACATTTAAGACAATGCTGCTCTTCTTTCAAAGCATAATTTTTAAATACATGCTTATATGCCTAAGTAAAAAGCGAAATACAAAGATGGAATTGCTGACTGCAAAGAGTAACTCAGAAAGTAGGGAGTAAAATGATATATACATAGATATACTACACAGTAAGGTATATATGTATACACATATACACATACATGAATATATTTACACGTGCATTTATTTAAGGCAAAATGTTTAAGAAGTTGGTTTACTGAGTATTTCTCAAAGTCAGTGCAAGTCAGTTCCATTGGTAAAGCCTTCACAAAACCACAAAACTTTTATTAAAAATATTACAAATTCTGAGGAAGTAATCACAAGTTTGATTCAGTGAATGAAGATCGTGCTATAGGCCTAGGAACAGAATTACAAAATCAAGTAGATCTACAGTTGGAGGCTGCTGAGGCCAACCATGTGAAAATTTAAAGGAATGTCTGTCTCATTTATACACCTCACTGATGCCAGACAGCAATTTGCAGCCTCAAGCTCATTCCTAGACTCAAGACTGTTAATGGAAGATCATCATCTTGTGTTATTATAGAATTTGACTGCCAGCCTCGAGCTGGTACAGGCTCACACTTCCCTAGCAAGCAGAAGTTTTGGATTCAGTGCCCACAGGAGTTGTGTATTCACATAAGTAGAATTTTGGCTTCCAGTCCCTGCCTTCAGGGATTACTACTTCTGCCTTATATCTAATGTCTCTTGAATAAGCAAGCTCCTTCTGCAGCAACCAGAACCACAGTTTTATTTCTTGTGACAACTTCCATTTGCCTTGTAAGCACTTATCGAAGGACAACAAATGTATCCTTGCCTCCATCTCTCACCAGTTCTCTGATTAAATGTATTAGCTTGCACACATTTTCACCAGGATAGTATGTAAGTATAGTTAACCACCATGATACTTAGGGGATCCCAAAATTCTCTTGGGATAAGTAATAGCCATAAGATTGCACACATAGGATCTACATTTAGTTTTTAATTACATTTAGAGCAACTGAGAAACGTTCGTTTGGTTCAGCACAGATGAAGTGCCATAAATCATCATACAGATGAAAACTTTCAGGAGTCTTAGAAAGTTTTCTAATAAATGAATAGTCAGGAAGGGAATCTCAGTCATTAGAAGCTGCTAAGCGAGCACAGGATAGGTGATGCAGATTTCATTCAAAAGTCTACTTAATTTCACTCTTGTTGCCTATGTCCTTCTTCAGACCTAGCTGTAGATGCCTGGCTGCAAACAACTAAGCCTCAAAGCAGATAAATATTGCACCATCTGAGCTGACTAACCGATATCAGAAAGAATTATTCTGCTCAAAATTAAGCATTTTATACACATTATCTATCAAGTTTTAAAAAAGCAGGTTCGTACTTTTGCAACAATTTTGTATATATATTATATTGCAATAATAATATTACGCCATTTCAAAACAAGATAACTATACTGACTCATGAATATGAACATTAATGTTCCACTGATCTAAGTGTCTTTTGACATACTTTGAAAAATTGCCTACAGAATGTTCTTATGATAGGAGTTACACACTGTTTTCAGGCTTTGTGAAAACAATTAGTTCCACAATCGTAATTGCAATAATGATTCGTATAAAGAAGTCCTTTTGTTCAATAGTGTAACAGACTTCTTACAACTACTAAGAGGTTATGGGAGAGCACTGAAAGGAAATATCCCCTAAATACCTACAAAACTGTGTTCAGACAAAAATATTCTGTCTTCTGAAACTAAATTAGCTAAGCTGCTTTTTACTTGCATTTCTAAGGACCACCTATGTTATCATTTATGGAGGCATGTCATGTTTCTCCTGGTTACAGAAGCAATAGTATGGAATCGTATGGAATACTTTAAATATTTACAACAGGTTAAAGTTAGATTGCACTGCAAAATAAGTAAGATTTGTGTTTCAAATACACAAAATTGAAAAACAGCTTATCCCTTTCTTCCATTTGCCTAAATAAAGTTTTATTTATTTTTCTACTTGATAAAAATTTTTATTTCCTTGGGACAACAAGCTTTCCTACATTTCTTTTTCTCTTTACTTTTTCAATCACGTAGTGAAATTTTATTTCTGAATGATGGCAATCACAAGGCTCTATCTGTTTAAAAACAAGTACACAGAGCCTATTGAGACCCTGAATTTCAATCAAGATGCAAATCAACTCTCACTACTGCAATTCAAGTGCATAAACCAAATATTTGTACTAGAACTGGATCTGAACCTATTAATGAATTACAAATGCCTATTCCTTTCTATAAATGCTAGTAACAATGCTTCCAATACCACCAAATTGCTATGGAATGTTAAAAAATGTTGCAGAGATCATGAGATAATTTCCTTGAAAACATATTTGAAGAAAACTTGCATAAAAAAAAATAAATCAGTCAGTTATTTCAAACTTTTCCGATGACAAAGCAGTCTCTGATTTATCCAAACTCATTGCAACTTTACTAATGCTAGTCAGATGCTCAGACTGAAACACAGGTATTGATACGGTTTACATTTTAATATATTTGCCATTATATTTACTTGACAAAATTTTAATTTGATTCTAATACTCTAAGATTTTAAAATATGGCATACAGAAAATACAATGTTAGGGGATTTAGTACCTGATTATAAAGTGGTAATGATGACACTGCGCTGATTTGGAATTAATTATTAAAGGTATCAGCTTATAATTTAGATTAAAACGTTTGAAATCTCTTCCTCAAACATTTGCTTTATAAAAATGAAAATTATCCATAAAGTATCAGAAATTACCATCATATTTTAGGGTTATTCTGAATGAAATAATTTTGCATTGTTGCACCACAATATAACTTTACATCGTGAAGCATTAAAACTTAATAAATTAGTTACTGAAACACGCTCTCTCAACTGCTATGCGGTTTTCCTTAAAAAAATTCCAAACCTTCCTACTTACACACTTAAAAATATGAACATCATTTCTATAGATTTCAAAGCTTGTAAATAGGCCTAAGAGAAGGCTGCATGCTCACCATGTTAGGGTGAATCAGTAGTATCTAAACAAGACTATTCGAAGTCTTAAACTCATCACACACTAAAATAAATACCTTTATTTAATGTGTATCTTGAAGCATATGTAGAGATAGGACTGAAATCAAGAATTATAACAACTAAGTTGCTTACAACAGACAAACAGGCAGTACGAGGCAATTTAAAAATGTATAGCAGGTGTAACAAATTAAATAAATTAAATTACTTGTTAACTGTCAGCATCCGGGTTGAGGACTCAATGTTTGTTCTGTACTTACAAATTACTTCATTACTAAGAGAAAAGTAAGAAATGGGGTCCCATTTAAGGGTTTTGAATCAAGTCTTTGGGCTTTGTCAGTTAAGACTTCAGTTACATGAATTTCAACTACACACATTAGTGTACTACGAGTTGCAAACAATTCATAGAGAGAAAACACTCTAAAATTAACTTACCTGTAATAATGTTGGGCTTTGGTGGCATGCTGAATTCGTACAATGTGGGTTCAGAATAACCCAGTCTGTTGGCAGCTGTAATTTGTACTTCGTAACCCATGGTCCATTGAAGATGCTCTAAGATGATGTGGTCTCTACTACCTTGCACTTTTTTCTCTAGCCACTGGTCTTCCTTATCTTTCTGTAAAGATGCAAATATTAGTTCAAATTCTCAAAACCTCTTGTATTATTTGTCTAAACTATGTGTCTACATGAGGCACAAAATATATGGAGTTTCATTTACAGAGGATATGAACATTCAAATAATCTAATTTTGGAGTTCTGAGAACTCAGGCTTTTTGTAATTTTATAGGCAATCCCTTTTAACCTTTTGGCTCCAATTTATACTTTGCTCAAATACTGATGTTTATCTTGAGAAACTGCAGGATAATTATTTACAAATGCTGCTAAGAATAAATTCTGTCAAAGTTTTATTTTATATAGATGTTTCCATTACATTTTGATCGATGTTCTTTAACAGAAACCTGCCATTAAACCAAAACTTGAATTGCTCACGTATGCAAACTCTGCTTATATCATACATTAGTTATATAATGAAAATATACACTAACTGTAGCAACATGTGGTACTATGGTAACATTTTGCAAACCAGGTTGTATGCAACAATATAAACACCATTGAGAAAGTATGCAGTCCTATGTCTACACTGGTGAGAGGATCCATGTAAATCCTTAAGATGGTGTTCTAGAGAAAAAAAGGATTCTCATAATTCAGATAATTATCTAAGACACCTGTACAAAAGGAAAAAATGAGGACTTCAGTTGCAATCTTAGTTCTGTCATTTCATAAATTTGCAGTGCTTATCTTCGCAATTGCTCCTTTCAGTGCATAATATATTTAATTATTCTTTATACAAATAAGAATTACAAAGTAATGATTAGGTAAAAGGGTAAAACAATCTATACTGTTAAACACAAATACCATCTTGTTCAAAGGACTATCAGTCACAGTCAGCAAGAATCCATGCAGTCCTATTCTTACTAAATACTGAGGTACAATAAAGTGGCAAAATCCGAGAGCCAAATCCTGGCCATCCAACCCATATAGCAACACAGATGCCGTCAGTGGATATAAACTTTCTGGGAAAAAAAACCCTTCAAATACAGGGAAGTATAACTTTTTGCTGCAGAATATATGCTTCTCAGCAGCTTATACTTAGGCTCTTTGCTGAAGCATCTTGCTCTTGACTGATACAAGTGTCAAAGAAAATAACATCTAAATTAGACAGTTCAGGGCCCAATCATGCTCCTTATGGCTGTTGTGTTGTTTAGTTTTTTTTCCTGTATCCCCAGTCTTCAGAACATAGAGTGACAGACTGAACTCCCTTATGTGCACTGCTGCAATAACTTAGTCACTATCAGTGCTGAGTGTGATGTTTTCTTAAACTCCTTTGTGCTTCTTCTGCACTGGCATTGGTACCGACACATGATAGACTTGGGAATGATTAAAATACAGTAAAACATCTTTTCAGGAACATTTGCAACAAGGTGCAGTAGTAGACCAATAGAAAACATCAGAATGGTAGTCACATTAGAAATCATGAAAAAAACTAAAGACTCTGGAATAAAAACAGTTTACTCATCATACAGTGAAACTGGTATTTTCTGTCAAGGCCATTTTCCCATATCCTCGTGGGTAAATTCTGTTGCAATCATCTGACATTCCACTAGGCAAATCCACCTATATTTACTTTCCAGTGAGTGAAACCATTTGTGCTATCACTGTATCAAACTACTTTTAGAAATTTTTTTTTTTGTATAGCACTGCTAAAATAAAAGTAATTAATACTGATTGCAATATGCATATGCAAATACTCCCTAGTAATATTAGGAATAGCATTGTTACGTAGCACCATATTTTAATGGCTGTTTAAACTGGTGAGGTTTGGGAGGAGTTAGGAAAAAAAATAACACTTAGATTCCAAAGAATCTCAACATGAGAGAAATCAGAAGATCGATACACGACCTTGGTGTGTGCACATACAACCGTGTGAATACTCTGTGGACTTCCAAAGAGGTTGAGAATCACAGAAGGAGAGAAAATATACTGAATTGGAAAATATTCAGGCTAATATTGTTCCTGCAGGTGGAAACGAGAGTATTGCAAACAGATATATGACTATATTTTGAAAACAAACTGTAGAACTACGTGTGAAGAACAGAATTAGCTTAAGATTTGGAAGTAAAACTATAGATTTCTGTATGAGGCTGCTCTTCTGCAGACATAAGTGAAAAGGCAGTTGTTCCAGTTTGGTCAGGTGAAGAATAATGAAGAGCTGAAATGAAACAGGATACCTACATGCTATGACAGAGAAATGACACCCTAAGTTTAGTTAAAAGTGGAGCCAACTGGGTGGATTGAGATATATGAAACAAAGTGCAAGCCCCGAGCTCAAAGACAGAAAAACATTTTACGAAGAGTGATAAACACAAGTTAGGAGGAAGAAGAATAAAGTGAGTATCTGGAAAGAAAGTTGTCATCTTCTGAAGATAAACGGATGAAGTCTTCCAGAATGCAGCCTGCTTTTGGCATCTTAAAAGAAAAAATAAAAGAACTGCAATGTCCTTCATTGTCGCTATTAATTCATATGCATTTTGAAGTACTTTTTACTGAGTAGAGCTCAGTAAT